AAAAAAAAAAAAAAAAATTATAGAAATGCTTATCAGATTATCTGTTCAGGAGGTACTAAAAATGACTGCTAGAGAAAGCCAGACTTCAACTTCGATGTAAATTCAAAGTGTTAGATGAGAAAACATGGTTTCCTCAAACAGGCACTTTGAATTGGTAAAATGATAACGAAATGAAATCAAACAGCTAATTTTCCTAAAGTACTCACTATAAATTCTGATTAGATATTTGCACTATTTAAGGACTTGAAAAGCACATAATATTAGCAAATAGGTTCTAAAAGTACATTAAAAGAATAAAACACTGTGGCAAAGTGGAGTTCAAAACAGAACTGCAAAGGTGATTCAACTGTAGAAAATGACTATTATAATTCACCACATAGACAGGTCAAAAATCCCACATGATTACAGCACAAAGAATATCGTCCAAAGCAAGTTTTTAATTGCAATGAAACCAGGCTCTTCTGGAAGAAGGTGCCCAACAGAAACTACATTCATAAAAGTGCAAAGGAGGCACCAGGGAATAAAATTTAGCAGGAAAGACTAACTCTGGTACTATGTGACAATGCTGCAGGGCGTATGATAAAGCCAGGCATTGTGTACTGAGCGAAGAACACATATGTTCTCAAAAACGAAAACAAAACTTATCTGTCCGTGTTCTGCCAACATAATCAGAAAGCATGGGTGACAGTCATCTTGTTTATAAATCGTTCTGCCAATGCTTCATCTCAGAAGTGAAAAAATACTTGGAAGAGGAAAGGTTGGAGTGGAAAAATTAAAAAGCAATAGTGTTTTCTTGGACAACTGCAACTTATTTTGAAAGTATGTATTATGAACATCACAACTTTAAGACAAAATAACCAGATTCCCTCCCCCAAGCACTAAGTTATATCTAATAGGAGCTCCAGTTAAGAGTTACATCATCTCAAAGATTAGCCCACACTTAAAATATGTATTACAAATAGCCTTAAAAATAGAAGATACATAACACATTCTATTTCAAATCTTCACAGTGATCAATGATGCTAACAGATAAGTATTATTCCCATACATGAAAAAGCTAAAGCTAAATGAGGGCAAAAAATTCATGGCTAATCACAGAGGTAGTAGGTGGCAGGCTTTGAACCCAGGTCTGTCTCCAGAGCGCACCAATTTTCATTATACCATAGCATCTATCATGAGGCTTAACAAAAATGGCACCTTGTTCATATCCAGTAATAAGACTGAACATCTCATGGTACCACATGATATACATAGATTCTATTATTATACACAAGTGAGATAGATATTTTTATTACCCCAGAGTGATACATATTATTATTATCCCTATTACAAAGAGGCAAAAAATGAACTTTATGTAGGTTTATTAATTTGTCTAGGAAAACACTGTCTCTGATTTCATAATAATAATTTTAAATAATATGAATTATATTTATAATAAAATATGTACATAAGCAAACACAAACATTCATAAACACAAACACCATACCATTTATTAGAGCTTTTTTAGTGTTCTATCTTAACATATATTATCTCATTTTTAAAATTCCTGAAAATCCTATAAGGTAGATATTCTTTTCCCCATTTTAAAGATGAAGGAAAGTGAAGCTAACAGAGATTAAGTAACTCTTCTAAACTTGCATAACTTCTAAACCTGAGGAAAACAAAAGATGGACCCAGATTTGTCTGACTCCATAGTTCATCCTTTCTAATACTAAACACTGCTGAAATTTCATTAAAGGGATATTCCTTAAGCAAATTCAGATGAAATCTAAGATGTCTTCACTACTTCATTTTCTTTATGATTTGAAAGTTGTATTTATAATCCCCACAAATGTACCCAAGATATTTATATCAAACTAATGTGAACAAGTTAAAAAGAAATCAAAGAAGTTGCCTGAAATAAACTGAATCAGCTATGTCAGGTGCTTATATTAGGTTCTCAAAAGGACTAGGTGCATGTTTGCAGTTCCCAGAAAAGGGAAGATCCACACTATTTCCCAGGCCAACTTGAATAACAAGGAGGAGAGGCAAAAAAGCTGAAGCAAACTTTGCAAGCTCCTCTTTCCTTCAACCACGATCCCATGTCATCTACGGTTTGTCCCTAATCTTTTCCTAATCCCCTTTGGTTACCCTGGGTTTGTTTTCCTGACTTATTTTGATTATATTCTTGGCACACAGAATACTATACTAAATACCTGGCCCTTCGCTTTTGGCCTACCTAAACAAATCCTAGAATTCTTCCTGTGTTAGGTTTTATTTTTTGATTTGTTTTGTTTTGTTGATCCTGTCAGTCACCTGTTTAGCAGTTGACTACATTTAGTTTTCTCACTAGCAGTTGGAGATGGCTCTTGAGCACTCTCCCCTAAAAATCAGCCATCATAACTATCCTCTCTCCTAGAATTAAACCCTTTAGGACTTAATATTCTACTGTAGTTTAGAAAGGGTAGACCTGGCTACTTGGGGGCCAAAGGGAAAGTGGGGAAACAATGGTGAATGAAAGCACAACTACTACAGATGCAGGGACAAGACTAGAGGAATTGGGTCATTCTAATCCAAAGCTATCTATTCAGAAGTTATATGTACGCCTATATGAAATGAAAGCTTGTGACCAAGGGACAAATGAGAAAGGAACATCAAAAATACTTTTTAATTCATAATACCTACCTTGGCTCTCAGTTTGAAGGGCAATGATTCATAGGTTTTAAAACTTAGGGAAAAGAAGGCTAAGTTATCTACAGTCTATAGTTGCTAGCCTGGAACATCATCCTACTTATTCAGTAGTTAACTAGAGCTCTCACACAATTTATAGCCTGTAAGATCTCATCAAAAGTAAGTAAGCCCTCATGTGCTGCTTTTGTAAGAGGTTTCAGGACACCATCCTGCTCTAATCATTCCTGTCTCAAATTTCTCCAAGAGTCAGACACTTTACATTACCCTGGAAAGCTCTTATGAACAGCAAGAGGTGGTTTGGGGGGCAAACAAGATGTATATCTTAAAAAGAAAAGGGGGAATTCATCAAAAAAGGAACCTTAGAAGTTCCCATGCTTCTCCAGAAAAACAACATACCTAACATCCTTACCAGTAAACAACATCCAATGGTGCGAAGTAATTTTTCATTATCAGGTCAGCAAAGTAAGCTTCTGTTTCCCTGCAAGCAGTTCCATTTCCAATCACCACTGTGCTGCAGCTTTAAAGGAGAAAAAGAATGAGAAACTGAATTTCAAGGCATGTTTTGAAATCAACCAGAGAAAATGTACAGAACACACAAATACTATTATACAATGTTCTTAATCTCTCATATATCCATGAAACCCATCCACTGTTTGAAAAGGGAAACACAGACTTAGGTAGAATAAAAAGATACTGTCCCTGCATTAGGTATAGGAGGCAGTGGAGAAATATTTTACTGCCATACTGTCTCAAGAATAGTCAGCTTTCTTCCCATCTAGAAGGAACCAAAATCATACATGAGTAAGTAAACTCTGGAGCTTGCTAAGCCATAATAAAGGCATTATGACTGAATTATACGATATGTTGTCAATTTCTGAAGCTTTTAACTGCTACTACATCCATTCTTCAGATCCATAAGGAAGAGAAGAAGGAAGGGAAGGGAGGAAAAGGGAGAAAAGAGGGAGGATAGGGAAGGAGGGAACCCAAACAGAAGAATGAAATGCTTACATTTGCCCATATTACCACCTTTATTTGTGAAGAGGGAGAGAGTAGAACTCCTCCAGAGCCTCCACACTCGAGTTCTCCAGCAATTTGCCCCAGCACTGTTTTACATGGTTCCTTCTCTCTCACCAAGGCACTTCCCTTAATCCTTCCCTCCAAATTAGGGGCTTCGAAGGTATCTCTGGCTGAACCATTGAAATACTCAAAAGATTACTTATTTTCATACTTGAAATTCAGCAAAAGCCTCTTTATTTTCTCTGCCTCTCGGAAGCCTTGTCCACAATGCAAGTAAACCACATCGGTATGAAGTATCTGACCTTTAAAAAATGAAAAACATAAGCCATTTTGTAAAAAATTACAAAATGTAGCATACCTATAATTTGATTAAGCAAGTTGTAACAGAAAAGGGGACTGGCTTGTCTTTTAAAATGTTGTCTAAATCCTTCATATTCACTAAATCAGATTGTCCCTAAGCACACTGAAATATTATTACTTACAAAATCTCATGGATTCTATTTTGCTACACAAAACCATTACTAACTGAATAATATGCCATGCATGTTACCTAAAAGAGAAATGGTTTTAACACCTAACATTAATAATAGTAAAAGCAAACATTACTGAATACTTAATATACATCAGACACTATTATCTTATTCTATTTCTTCTTTTTGGTTTAAATTTATTTACATTGTGTAATTCTTTGAGCTGCATATTT